AATGTGAACATACGCGTACCAAGGAACGTGACGGGGGTCGACACGCAACCACTCGCGCGACGTGCGTGGACGGAAGGTGCCGAGCTGTGCACCCTCGACTGCTGACAGGAACGAGCGGTGGTTCCTGTCAATCCCACGGTTCAACAGCGCCGGTGTGTCGTACGCCATACCTGCATCAAATAGATTGATCAGAAACATAGAAATAATTAGTTCAACATAAGTAATAAATGTTCATAAGCGAATTACTAACACATATTAAACAAGAGTACAAACAAACAAAAGTGTCACAATACGGAATATTTCTGATTACAACAATAACTGCAGTTACACGATATGAGTACTTAGTCCGAACACTCATCACGATAACATTATGATACAACACCGAATAGTTCGCAATACTACTAGTACAACAATAGTCGGAGGTACTCATTACAACAACATTCAATTGAAATTACACGATAGAAGTATTTAGTCCGAACAATCATCACATCACAATAGCATTTTATTTCCTAAATCGATAGCATTGTTACACCATGGAATCGCCTGCTGCGCGACGACGCCTTGGCCTTGCGCGCCTGCTTGTTGTTCCTTCACCAGGTGGTCGCCTACCATCACTTGCCTATCCAGATGGACTAGCATCTGCGCCGCTTGGAACTTCTGCATTCTTCGGACATTTCTTGTAAGTATGGCCGCGCAGATCACACTTACTGCAGCGTAAAGTCCTCCCACCTGCTTCTGACTCATCAATATCATTTCTGATGCGTCTAATTTGGCGTCGACCCTTTTTCACCCTTAACTTAGATGGATCTGGAATATAAAAAACTTGGGCACTCAGCGTTGTGTAAGATCCTGAGATCCCGAACCCATATATCTCCTAACTCCATGTATGAAAGATTGTTTCTTTCCTGAAATAATTTGAGACGTACACATTAGGAGATATGCCACAATCACCGGCAGAAGCAAGAACGTGTGAGCAAGGAAGGTGATGAAGCTTCGGCTTCATACAACTGCAGGTACATCCACCATTCGCCTTCAAGACACATTTCTACACGGCTTGCTTGCGATAGATACCTCGCCTGCTCCTATCAACACACATTATTTCATACCGATGCACTTGTGTGCCTTGAGCAACAACTCTATGTCTCCGTGCCTTTTTGATTTTATCTTCCATGTACTTTGTCACTACGTTGCTAAACACTATGTTGTTATCTGCCATGGATGGACCAATTTTCTTGTATCGATCCCTAAAGTAGGCTTGCGTGCCGTGAAGGATGAATTCAACAATAGCAACCAATGGAAGTACCCGAACTCCTCACATTACCCAGTTGTACACCTCTGCCAAATTGGTTGTCATTATGCCATACCGAGATCCATCGGTGTCGAACAATAGAGACCACTTCTCCTTAGGCTCATTCTTAATCCACTGAGTGAAATTTCTGATGGACGACCCCGACCTCCTTCTCATTGTTGGTGGGTCATCATGTAATGCACCAAGAGGTATGGGAGGCTCGTCACCTTCAACTTGTGGTCTGCGAGATTGCTCGTCTGTTTGCTTCGTTGTCAACTCATCCAACTTGTCCCATAACTCATTAAATTTCTTCTCTTGGTTCTGTGCACAGAGCCTCTTAAAGAGCTCCATAAGATGCTTGTTCTTGAATTGCTTGTAGAAATTTGCACCCATGTGACGCATGCACCACCGACTCCGAACATCAGGCCACTTAGCTGGAACTCCCTTCTCATCCCAACCGTTCTTCAAGTAGTCAATAGCCCGCAACATGCCCGCATGACGATCATGTATAAGGCAAACGTTGGGCCTCATACGCACCACTGCAATGTGCACTCTCTCTAGGAACCAGTACCAACTTTCAGTGTTCTCACTCTCTACAAATGCAAAAGCCATAGGTAGAACCTGGTTGTTCCCATCACACCCAATTGCTGTCAATATCTGACCTCGGTATTTACCTGTCAAAAAAGTTCCATCTATGCATAGAACAGGTCGACAATGCACAAAAGCATTGATGCAAGCACCCAATGAGAAAAAGGCTCGTTGCAGCACACTCTTTGTTCGATCATCAACCGATGTAAATGTATGTACGTCATAGTAAGTATTATTATTCCTCTGGGCAATGGTGGCTAACAAACGAGGCAAATTATCATAAGAAGCTTCAAATGTGCCATACCTCATCTCAATCATCTTTTGTTTGGCTCTCCAGGCCTTTGCATAGCTTATGGTGTACTTGAATTTGTTCTCGATGTGCCTAATAATTGATTTTGGTTCAAAGCCAATGTTACCAACAACACTGCTGTACATCTCACTTGCAACAAAAGCTGAAGTGATGTTTCGGTGATACTTCTCCACCCCTTGTAAGTAGCACTTGTGCTCGGTCACAATGCTAACTTTCCAATAATCATTCCATTTACCCTTATATGCATGGACACGCCACGGACAATCTTCCTTCATGCACCTCACTTCATACACATAATTTGTTGACTTGACCACCCTAAACTCTCTCTGCAAGGAAACTGCCCAATGCTTCACCGCCTCCTTCATCTCATCCTTATAAGCATACCTTGCACCCTCAATTACCTCGTTCTCCTTATACTCCCAGGGTACATGATCACCCTCTGATATAACAAGTCCAGAGAAGTCCTCATTTGCCCAATCAGTGGCCATTACATCACCTTTCTCATCGGATGATGTGTCGTCGTCCGCTTGCTCATTATCCGAATCTTCCCTCTCCATTTCATCAACAATTATACCGACTCTCTCCCCCTCATCCGCCATGCCCATGGCCTGCTCCTCACTTGGTTGATTTTCCTCATTTTGCATCGATGGTCCAACAACATCCCCTGCATTGCTAGGACCCTCTACATCTTCGGTTTGCATTGAAACATTTATATCTTTCTCTTGTACCGACACAAATATAACGAGGGGCCATGACCGTTCAAAAGCCATTTCCACATACCGTCTCAAAGCAGCAGTGCTGTCCATCGGCATTAGTTCCCAAAAATAACCTTCTGTTTCACGACTCACTACAACTGATACTGACATTGTGTAGACTTCTTGGTCTATTCTAAATCCTCTCAACAACCAACTATAAATTGACTGAAATGTTCTCTCCGCAGGCCTATCGATGCCCTTAGATGTCATTACAAAATCTGACAGATCAATACCATCTGAACCAAATCTAATATTTCCTTCATCGTGAACTATCTGAAATGTGACCTTATTTGACATTGTGCCTGATGAAAACAATAACTACGTTAACCTCGCATTTCTGTACTACGCCCTAAGTTACATTCTCTACAATATTGTTCTCCAAAATTCTAAAAGTAGGTTACATTCTCCAGATCAAACTAAACTACATCTTACAATTAACACTACTGTCTATGTCTCAATTCATACTATTATATTCTATACTCTGGATCTACACATATATGCTGTGTGCTACAGATCTGCTAAAATATATGGAACTAAAACTAAAACGCAACATATATACTCAAACATAACATATTAGTACAAATGCAAAAGATGTATGGGAGCAAACCTGTGATGAAGTGAGCGAACCAGCAGGGCTTCGCCGCTCCCCTTCTGCTGCCCTCCCCTCTCTCTCTTTCGTTTTTTTTTGGATTTTTAGTGAATATAATGAAATTTCATAGAGGGGGGACTGGGCTTTATAGGGGGAGGCAAAAATCGCCCTCCCCCAGGGCGGCAAGGGGGCCGCCTGCAAAATTCCATGCCCTCCTCGCCGCCCATTTGCAGGCGGCCCCCTGCACAGTACAAAATCGCCCTAGCGGAGGGCGGCAAGGGGGCCGCCTGCAAATTTCGTTGACGGCCGTCGCCCGAGAGCGAACGGCCGTCTGCCACGTCACTTTCGCCGCCCTCTGGGATGGCGATTTTTAAAAATCGCCCTCCCAGAGAGTGGTAGGCGACTAATTCCGTCAATTTTCAAAATGGAAAATTATTTTTGTAAAACTTTTAATAAAAAAAATGAAAAAAAAAAAACTCCATTTTGGTTTGGTACAATTCTTACCCTACAGAATTGGTAGTTTTGAATAAAACTACATGTTACTAGCAATTTGGATTGAAGCTATTTTTTACCAAATCTATACTATAAAACATTTGTTAGTACCAAAACTTACCCAAGATTTAGCACTTACCCAAGCTATTTTGGTATGATTTTAAACCAAACAAGTCAAACGATTCACGGGTCACGACCCATCAAAACAGAACAAAACTTGTTCAAAAAAGAAAAGAACAAGCAAAACTGAAATCAGTTTTTAGAGAATAGACAATGAGGAAACTTGGTAATGATGCGGACGACTTGTTAAAAAAAACATAACTGCAATCTAAATAGAGAATAGACAATGAGGAAACTTGGTAATGATGTGGACGACTTGTTAAAAAAAAACCATAGCAAAAACGAAATCAGTTTTTTTAGAGAAGAATAGACAATGAGGAAACTTCGTAATAATGTGGACGATTTGTTTGAAATGTATTATTAAAAAAATCCGACCTGCCGGATTCGAACCAGCGACCTAAGGATTTATCTGCACATACTACAGTCCTCCGCTCTACCAACTGAGCTAAGGTCGGTTTCCGTTTGTATTTTACAGATTTCTGTTATATCCAACATAAAACAAACAAAACAAAGATAATTCATACAACCACATTACATCCATCTCCATAGGCTGAAAGGATTAACCGCTTGCTGTACAACGATCTGATAATACAGACGACTAAAATCTCTTCAAATTCCATGCGAAATGAAAAGCCTTCACCATACAACTACTTTCATGGTTGATCCATCGGCCAAGAATCCTTGCGAAGGTAGAAACGCTTCCATCTTGTCAGCGCCACTTTCATTATCTTCCTTTAATCTATTCCGTGCAAAGTGTGATTTCTCTACATCATTCAATCTCCACAACGGTAACATTATGCACATCGGACAACTTGCAGGATTTTTGGATGCACGATGATCGATCTCGAGGTGAGGATGTTGATTCAGTTTCGAACAGTACTATCTTTAACTAATATTTTTTTTCATTGAACAAATGAAAGAATTTCACCACTACCCCCAGGTACAAATTTTAGCCGCGTGGAACACTCTCCACCGTGGTAACAAAACAACAGTCCTCTACTCCATTCCAACAAATCTACCCGACGGTGGAGCAGGCCGACGTGTCGGGGTCTACGAGCGCCGGGACCAGGTATTTCCTCCCGTGCGCCCCATTCGCGTTGTAGCTGGCCCCGCTGGCCGGGTCCACCAGCAGCGACCCAGCGTAACCCGGGTACGCCCCCTTGCCGTACACTCCGGCGCACGCGGTGGCGGCCTCCAGCGGCGCGTCGGCGTCGCCCTGGAAGAAGCCGTTGCCGAACGGGTTGGTGACGGTGCCGACGATCATCGAGGCGAGGGATATCACCATGCCGTCGACGCCGACGTCGCCGTTGGGCGGCGTGAGGGGCGCCGCCTGCGGGCCGTACACCGGCTGGTGGTACGGCCACGCGCACTGGCCGGGGCACTGGGTCGCCGGGTTGCCCACCCACACGTAGGCGAACCGCCCGGCGCGGGACCGCGGCGACGCGCCGTGGGTGCCGCACCGGCTCATGCAGAAGCCGTCGACAGCGACGTCGTCGGCCGTGAGCACCACGTTGATGGCGCGGCTCGGCGAGCCTCGGGCGGCGAGCCTGACGAGGTCCTTCTCCCCGAGCCGCTTGCCGAGGGAGTACGACTGGTCGAGCACGTGCTGGCCGAGGGACAGCGCCGGGAAGCGCGCCTTCGAGTTGGCGTAGTACTTCTGCGCCGTCTTGAACCAGCTGGCGACGGACGGCTCCGGCTGCGGCTGCGGCGACGGCGGGGTGGACAGCGACGAGACGAAGTCGGTGATCACCGCGCGCTGCGGCGCGGAGAAGTTGCCGTACCAGATGAGGTTGACGGCGATGCGGCCGGAGAGGAGCGCGCCCTTGTGGTACGTCATTGTGATGGGCTGGTCCTGCACCAGCGCGGTGAGCTTCCTCGACGCGACGCACATCTGGAAGAGAAGCGCGCACGCGAGCAGGCACGCTGCAAAAGCTGCGGAGGAAGCCGCCATTGGCGATGGATCGAGAGGATTTTGGTGGGTTTTTGGCCAGATGAGTTCTTGGGGACGTTGGGTGGGGAAGCAGATCGAGCTGGGTGCGGGCTTTATAGTTGGCCGAGGAGAGTGAAGTGGAGTGTGAGAAGTGGATGGGGGATGGTTAATTTTCCGCGTGACGTATGATCGAGAGAGCCGCAGCTTTCTGAGCCAAAATAAAGGACGCGTCCTTGGCCGTGCTGCCCGAACGGTCACTGGCCAGCTGGCTTTGCGTGGCCTGCCTGCTCCCAGCTGTTGCTGAGCGGGCATCTGACCATTCTACCCCTCAAGCTGGCGCCTCGGATACTGTAGATCAGTGGCTCGATGGCATGGTGAATCCTGCGTAAAGGCATGGGCAGTTTAGGGATTGCGGGCGGAATGGGTAAAGTGGGCACTGCGGGAGTGGGTAAAAGCAGGTTGGCTTCTCGAGGAGGCTTGAAGCAGCTTGCAGAGTGGAGTGCGGAGAGCAGGGGAACACGAACGTTGGGATGGCATGTAGCGTGGGCCAGCGCCATCCCAGTTTTGAACGTTGGGGACTTGGGGTGTATCACTACAGCTTTGATGTACCGCACAGCAGTAGTTACTCGTACGAGTAGGTTGGTTGTACTGTTGGCGCACAACTCACCTGTCACCACTGGCCGGTGTCACCAGCATTAGGTTTATCGTTTTTATAAAAGCGTGTTAGAACTTATACAGAAGCCAGGCTGGTGCTGGCTATGCAAAGCAAGCAATGTGAGGACGAACACGGCGATAACAGTGAAAAATGCAGGGAGAGATGGAGGGATGTTTCATTTGGTCACGTGAGTGTTGATGAAATCAAGGGACAAAAAAAATTCAATGGGAGGTGGGGAAGAGAGACAAAACGGTGGCCGGCTGGCCGCAGGCAGGCAGGTGAGGTCGTGAGGAGGAGGAGGCGGCCACGAGAAGCTGCGGATGAGAAAGCGCTCGTATGGTCGTCGTATTCTCGTGAGAAAACGCTGGCCGGCCCATCGGCGTACTAGTACCAGCCAAAGCCCAGCTGAAGTACAGGCCCCCACGGCTGACCCGCGCCATCCTCCACACTTCCGCACGTTGCGTTCGCCATAACGATCGTACGCCATCCAACGTTATCCGGCTCACCTAGAGATCCATACCCCACGCCAGCTGGTGGTGAAGCGGGCTACTACTCGCTCTATGCGCGTCATCGGGATGCGCGGCAGCACGATCCGCTGGCCCTACTACCATCAACGCACATCACGCCGCACTCGTGAGGTCGTATCCCGCTGCTACTACTCCCAGTCTCACTAGCCGCTAGCCGGACAGCCGGCCGCCAGCCAGCCTAGCCCCGGTGTGGCAGTCGGACGTGCAGGCAGATCAGGCAGCAGCAGCAGCGGCGGTGAATTGCGAACGGACGGATCGCGCATTCATTCGTGCCTGCCCGCGTTGCCCTTTCGCTGGTATCATATCTAGGCGCGTCACGATGGACCACGGGAGCGGCGCTTTTGTTGGTCCACTTCCGTGCAGGCCAGCTAGCTCAGCTCCGCCGGAGCCGAGACGAAATGGCAAGGCAGCTGGCGTTTGTTGGTGCGTGCTCTGAAAAGTGAAACCAGAATTTAACCCATCTTTTCTGACGCCCTTTTACAGTTGCGAAAGCATGTTGATGATGGTGTTCTATCCATGGTTTCCCAAACCACCAGGTCCGGGGTTACCGTGCCCCGACAGTAAGCACGGTAACAGTAACCACGGAAAACCGTGTAAAATTTATTAAAAATTTAAATTATTTTTAAAATTTATTTGAATTTAAGGAAGTTACCGCGGTATTTATATTACCATACCCTGCGGTAAGCCTGAAAACGGTGGCAAGGGAAACCTGCTTCCATCCGCGATCTGCTCACGCGAGGTCGCGAGCCCCGGTTGCCTGCAGGCCGTCCTGGTTTTCTCACGTTATCCGGCTTCAAGCTTTCATGTCCTCCGGGACTGGTAGGCTCGTGCAAATCAAGTACTACGTGCTACTATTACGCCTCGTATCCCTTCTGTGGCAGAGTTTACGTTAACAGTATCAAGACTGTTACATTGACGCCAATACAGTAATCACATCGACAACGATGCTGTAACCATTACTCCGTACAGCACAATGGCAGCAGAGGTTAGTTAACACTACTCCCACTCTGCTGAGTACTACCGATTTCTTAATTCGACTTTTACCCTTTTTTAGATGATGATTCGACCTTATCTTGACACTTGGATTTTGTTTGCTTACCAAACACAATGATTACGAATAATCATTTTGCAGTTCGGAAACAGTCTAGCAACTGTTCTTATATTACTCATTTGCTACGGCTCCAGCTTGAATCGTGTCTGAGCTGGAGACGCTGGACCCAGTGAGAAATGTTCAGCAACCGGGAAGGTTTTACTACTACCACTTGTGCAGTCAGGCCATACCAGCTACTAATATAATGTCAGTTGGACTACTCGCTTCTTGGTAGTATTATCTGGATATCGTGTAGTATACTAGTAGAAGACGTAAACAAGTCATCAACACGATCGAATTAATAATACGCGTATTGGAGTAGTAGTATGATACGAGTAGGGCATGTTTAGGAACTAGGGACTAAACTTTAGGCTCTCTCATAAAAATATAAATCTTTATTATAGAGACTTGTGTTTTTTTAGAGAGGAGTGGGTACGCATACGGCACATCTGTTTAACTCTGCGACAGTGTCCTAGGACTGGGATTGGATGCTCGAGCTGTCATCTCGTAGGACGTCGGGCTCGTCATCAAACCGGCTGCTCTGTGTCTCGCGCGTGTCTCCCGTCCTCTACCCCCTCGTTAATTCTCCTGGTGATCTTATCTTGGATGGGGCACTTGAATCTCCACACGTACGGTTGTTAGATTGACTGATGGAGTATGCAAAATGCTGATTAATACTGCCTCCATTCCAAATTGATCTACATATATTTTTTTAGATTATTCCTAAATGATCTACATATTTGTGTTCATTCATTAAGTCTATTCATTATTTGTGCATTGGAGTAAATGAATATTGATGCATGCATCCATGCATACAAGTATTTATAAATTCATTCAGTATGTCTATTCGTTATTTGTACATTGAAGTAAATGAACATTGATGCATGCATCCATGCACACAAGTATTTATAAACCATATGCAATATCTTGATTTGCTATTGGCTAGAAAATAGTAGGGATGGTGCATGCATAGAGTTTGTTGCTAGAGTAAATATAGTATGAGAGAGTTATTAGTTTTTTTTGGTCTTGTTGTACCTATGAAATACGTAGATCAATTTGCAATGGAGGGAGTATTCGGTTTTATTTGCCGCTGATTGTGAGCACTGAGCAAGTGAGCAGCATCAACACTAGCGGTATTAACTAGCTAGTGTTGTATTCTTGTATAGGTTGTTCTCTTGACAAGGGACCGGATAAGCACGGAGATGCCGCATTCCACGGGCTTTGGATCATGTGTTACCGCTGCTGCTTGGAATAAACTAACTTGATGCCGAACATATGGCTAGCAAATGGTCAGAGTGTCAATAGTTCTTAGGAATAAGTTGTCATTTGCGTGATGAAGCACAAGGATGTGAATCCGGTAGAATTCTCCAGGTCTCAATTGCTCAACACAAGCAGTTGCTGGCACATTGCACACAGGATGACCACTGACCTGATCTTGCCAACTGTAATTTGGACCTGACTAGTGGTAAGAAACGTAGTAGTTGTTGTTTATGCTACTGTCTTTGTATCACTGATGATAATGTGCCAAATTTAACGGCGTGCATAGTGCATACATATACACATCCCATACATGCTGGTCCACTCTGGAAACAGGGGACGTATTCGGCCTGCTTCAAGTTATTTTTCTCTCGTTTTTTGTTGCTGCCAGGTGATGTTAAAATCAGGTGATGATTGTTCCGAGTAAATAACGTTTCTTCCCTCCAGAAAGCATGCATGAATCCTGGGAACTCAAGTCATTTGCCGTTCATTTCCAGCAAACAAGTCACGATACGTCAGCAAGTCATCATGATTAAGATCACTTTAGAACACGCGTTCTTTCGCCGGTTCAGAGAAAAATCAGTGAACACCTACACCAGTCAGTTAACCTGATTGCACTACGTGCAGAAGTCCTGCGAGGTGCCGACGCGTGGCGTGCGATGCCTATTATAAAAATAGATGTACAACGGAGACACGAATTTTACGTGAAAAACCCTTGCGGAAAAAAATCACGGGCGCCGACCAGCAATGATTACTATAGAGTAGATGATTATAAACGTAGGAGAATAACAATAGGAACGTCACCCCTTCCCGTACGGCTTACAAGAGTATATATAGGGGATAATAGAAAGACACCTAATATGATAGACATGAAGTCCTACTAGGAAACTAATCCGAATATATTGTGGGCCCAAAATTCGGATCACATATTTAACAATCTCCACCTTGAGACGAATTTCCTCTTGTAGCATAAAAACATCAATCACCAAGAAATACCTCATGTAGGTAAAATCACCGCGCGCCAAATAGTCTCTAGGACTATACTGTCACACCCACCAAGCTTGAGCAAAGCTCAAACTTAGTAGCAGGAACTGGCTTTGTCATCATATCAGCTGGGTTATCATGAGTACTTATCTTGCATACCTTGACATCACCTTCAGTAATCACACCTCGAATAAAGTGATATCTCACATCAATGTGCTTTGTTCTCTCATAGAACATTTGATCCTTTGTAAGGCATATTGCACTTTGACTATCACAAAATATATTAATGCAAGACGTAACTCCACAAAGCTCAGTGTACAAACCTCTAAGCCAAATAGCTTCTTTACAAGCTTCAGAAATAGCCATATACTCTGCTTCAGTAGTAGATAAGGCAACAGTTGCTTGCAAACTTGCCTTCCAACTAACAGCACATCCTCCAATAGTGAAAACATAACCTGTGAGCGATCTTCTCTTATCCAAATCTCCAGCAAAATCTGAATCCACATAACCAACAAGTCCATCTCTAGATCTCCCAAACTGCAAACAAGCACTAGATGTACCATGTAGGTATCTGAAAATCCATTGAACAGCTTTCCAATGCTCTTTGCCAGGATTAGCCATGTATCTACTGACAATACTTAATGCATGTGATAAGTCAGGACGAGAACATACCATGGCATACATAAGTGAACCAACTGCACTTGAATAAGTAACTCTAGACATGTACTCAATATCATAATCTGACTGTGGACATAAATCTGAAGATAATCTGAAATGTGCAGCTAAAGGAGTACTCACTGGTTTTGCATCATGCATATTGAAACGATGAAGAACTTTTTCAATATAACCTTTCTGACTAAGATATAACTTACCAGAATGTCTTTCTCTAGTAATTTTCATACCGAGAATTTTCTTCGCTGCACCCAAATCCTTCATCTCAAATTCACTACTCAATTGTGCCTTCAACTTTGCTATCTCTGATTTATCTTTTGCAGCAATCAACGTATCATCGACATAAAGAAGCAAATATATAGCTGAACCATCAACAACTTTGAGATAAACACAGCTATCATAATTGGATCTTCTAAACTTCTGAGAAAGCATGAAAGAGTCAAATCTCTTATACCACTGTCTAGGTGACTGCTTCAACCCATAAAGAGATTTCTTCAACCTACAGACTAGGTTCTCTTTTCCAGGAACAACAAAACCTTCAGGTTGCTCCATATAAATGTCCTCTTCTAACTCCCCATGTAAAAATGCAGTCTTAACATCCATTTGCTCTAGTTCATAATCATGCATTGCAACAATACTAAGTAAAGTGTGAATTGAACTATGCTTCACAACAGGGGAAAAGACATCATTGAAATCAATACCTGGAATCTGGCTATAACCTTTAGCAACTAGCCTTGCTTTGGATCTTGCCTCATCACTTGGAGACATACCTTCCTTTCTTTTGAAGATCCACTTGCAACGGATAGGTTTCTTCTCCTTTGGCAACTTCACCAATTCCCAAGTATGATTCTTTTCAAGTGATTCCATTTCATCATGCATAGCAGTTATCCATCTATTGCAATCATCAGAAACAATAGCCTCAGAATATGTAGAAGGTTCGGCATTACCTTCAATTTCTTCTGCCACACTCAAAGCATAAGCAACTATGTTCACTTCTTCAATATATCTTCGAGGAGGTTTAATATTTCTTTTGGGCTTATCTTTTGCAATAGAATGTTTTGGAGGCTGCTGAACAATAGAAGAATCTGAATCTTCAATAACAGGTGCATCTTGGTTAATAGCAACATCTTCTTTTTCTGGTGCATGCCCTGAACTGATCAAGTGCTCCACCTGCACACTTGCTTTCTCCTGATTCTCAACAGGAACATTAGTAGAAGGTTTGTCATGTAACATAACTGATTCATGGAAGACAACATTTCTACTAATCACAACCTTTTTGTTTCAGGACACCATAACTTATAGCCTTTCACACCAGACGGATAACCAAGAAAAATGCACTTAATAGCTCTAGGCTCCAATTTACCATTATCAACATGAGCATAAGCAGTACAACCAAATACTTTTAAGTCTGAATAATTTGCTGGGGAACCAGACCATACCTCAATTGGAATCTTCTTATCAATGGCATAACTGGGTGATCGATTGATAAGATAACAAGCAGTGGAAACGGCTTCCGCCCAAAACTGTTTAGGCAAACCTGCATTAGACAACATACAACGGGCCTTTGATATAATTGTCCTGTTCATACGCTCAGCTACGACGTTTTGTTGAGGTGTGTGAGGAACGGTGTAGTGACGCACAATGCCTTCAGACTTGCAATATGATTTAAATATCTTAGAACAGAACTCCATCCCATTGTCAGTACGAAGGATTTTCACCTTCCTTTCAGTTTGTCTTTCAACCATAGTTTTCCACTCTTTAAACACATTAAAAGCTTGATATTTGTGCTTCAAGAAATAAGGCCAAATTTTTCGCGAATAATCATCAACGATAGTCATCATGTAACGAGCACCTCCAAAAGATGTCTTACGAGCAGGCCCCCATAAATCAGAATGCACATAATCAAGAATACCTTCAGTAGTATGTGTAGATGTGTTGAACTTCACCCTCTTATGCTTGCCAAAGATGCAATGCTCACAAAATTTGAGCTTCCCGATGCTTTGTCCATCTAGCAATCCTCGCTTGCTCAATTCTGCCAAACCAATGTGTAGATGTGTTGAACTTCACCCTCTTATGCTTGCCAAAGATGCAATGCTCACAAAATTTGCGCTTCCCGATGCTTTGTCCATCTAGCAATCCTCGCTTGCTCAATTCTGCCAAACCAATTTCACTCATATGCCCAAGACGCATATGCCAAAGATTAGTAGCATCGGAATTAGATAATGAATCAAAAACTGCTGCAACATTACCTAATATAGTTGTACCTCGCAGATGGTACAGGTTGGCAGATTTAATATCAGCTTTCATCACAACAAGAGAGCCTTTAGTTACCTTCAAAATTCCGTCTCCACCGGAATATTTGTACCCTTTGCGATCAAGAGTACATAAAGAGATGAGACTTCTCTTCAAATTTGGAATATGTCGCACATCTGACAATGTTCTTATGCAGCCATCAAACATCTTGATCTGAACTGTTCCAATACCTGCAACCTCGTATGGTGTATCATCACCCATCAAAACAGTACCACCTTGAACAACTTCATAAGTGGCAAACCAATCCCTATTCGGGCACATGTGATAGGTGCATGCAGTATCAAGAATCCACTGGTCACTAGTTTGTGCACAACCAGCATAAGTAACAAGCAATTCTGCATCAGACTTCTCATCAGTAACAACTGCGGCTTTACCTTCCTCTTCTTTCTTACCTTTTGGTATATATTTTCCGGTTCTCTTGTCTTTATCCTGTAGCTTCCAACACTCAGAGATATCATGTCCATCTCTCTTGCAGTATTTGCATGACTTATACCTACCTCTGGATTTTGATCTCCCACGGTAGCTACTTGAGCTTTTATCTCTTGATTTGTTGTTTGTGTTCTTCTCCTGTTGGCTATCCCGAACAACCAAGCCTTCTGCTTGTGAATTTGAACCTTCAGAGGGTACCATTTTCTTCATCTTTTCTTTGGCATGCAAAGCATCATAAACTTCTTTCAAAGTTAGAGTATCACGGCTATAAAGTATAGTATCCCTAAAGTTTGCATATGAGCTAGGCAATGAACACAATAGAATAAGGCCTAAATCCTCTTCATCATACTTTACCTCCATAGACTCAAGGTCAGCAACAATTTCCTTGAAAGCGGAGAGATGGTCTATCACAGACCCATCATCTTGCAACTTGTGCAAAAATAATTTTTGCTTCAGGTGCATCTTACTGGTCAGATCCTTAGTCATGCATATCTGTTCCAGCTTCAACCACAGCCCAGCGGCTGTCTCCTCCTTAAGCACCTCCTGCAAAATATTGTTAGATAGATGAAGATGAATATATGACATAGCCTTACGATCCCTTTTCTTCTCATCGTTGGACCAATCCTGTGTCCTCTTGTCAAATCCAGAAAGCGCATCATCGAGGTCTTGTTGTGCAAGAACGGCTCGCATCTTCACTTGCCAAATTGAGAATCTTGTGTCTCGGTCCAGGAGCGGTAGATCATACTTCAAACTCGCCATGGGAATTAATCCTGAAATTTGCTAGTAAGAAATTAGGGTAAACTAGCAAAAACGCGAAACCTGGTACACTTCTCGTGTGCACGTAGTGTAGATCTGAAACTTCCTGGTAGACAAGCTTGTGTGCGCGTAGCAATTTCAATGTGAATAAAAATTCACATGGAGCGCTCTGCTCCTATCTCGATGGCTTCTGGCTTCTGCCCTACTTTTCCTCGGTGAACGTGCACTGCAGATGGAAGGGTTTTCTCTCTGCTTGCTTTTCCTCTCCTGACGCGTGCGCTGCTGCTGCTCTGATTCTCGCGCGGCAGGAAGGACGAAGTCGACTCCGCTTTGGATTGGATTTCGCCGAACAGAATTTCGACGGGACGACGAACACGACTACGCGTGCCACCGATTAGATCGATTTCTTCGATTGGGAAAAATCGCCGGTGGCCGGGACTGCAGTAGATCGATCTCCAATACTCTGATATCACTTGTTATGAAAATAGATACACAACGGAGACACGAATTTTACGTGGAAAACCCTTACGGGAAAAAACCACGGGCGCCGACCGGCAATGATCACTATAGAGTAGATGATTACAAACATAGGGGAATAACAATGGGAACGTCACCCCTTCCTGTACGGTTTACAAGAGTATATATAAGGGATAATAGAAAGACACCTAATAGGATAGACATGAAGTCCTACTAGAAAACTAATCCGAATATATTGTGGGCCTAAAATTCGGACCACATATTTAACAATGTCTCGTCCATGCTGCCGCATGGTGCGTGGAGAGGTGGTGGCTGGTGGCCGTGCCGCCGTGGATGGCTGTTGCGAGTGGAAGCGACAAACCAATCCGCGTCCCTCGCTCCAAACAAAATCCAGCTGCCTCCCACCGAGTCAACCCATGGCCACTGAAATAGGAGTACCACCAGAAACTGAAATAAAGGCACAGCGTCTCCAAAAAGGGGGATAGAAAACAGAGGCACAGCCGCCTCACAGCCCAAGGGCCAAACTGGAAGGAAGTGTGCACGAAACTGCAACCGTGGCATATTGGCATGCAGGAATCACACCTATAAATATCCACTCCCGTAGCTATTCAGAAACCACACAAAGACACACGTACTTGTATACACAGCTCTCGCACCAAGCAAGCGTGCACAACAATTGCACTACGAGATCATGGCCTCGGATCGTAGGGTTTGCACCGTCCACCACATGAGCCACGCGGCAATCGTGCTGGTTTCAGTACTGCTGCTGTGCTCGGCACATCCCTCCGCGGGAGCCAGGAGGCTCATGGAGCTGTACAAGCCACCGCCCAGCGAGCAACTCACGTACCACAACGGCACCGTGTTGCGGGGCGACATCCCCGTGTCGGTCGTCTGGTACGGCCGCTTCACGCCGGCGCAGAAGGCCGTCGTCTCCGACTTCCTCCTCTTGCTCACCGTCGCCTCGCCGGCGCCGACCCCGTCCGTGTCGCAGTGGTGGAACACCATCAACCAGCTGTACCTGTCCAAGGCGGCGGCGCAGGGCAAGAACGGCGGCGGAGGCGGCAAGATCACCACGCAGGTGAGGCTCGCCGGCCAACTCACCGACGACCAGTGCTCGCTCGGGAAGAGCCTCAAGCTGTCCCAGCTGCCGGCGCTGGCGGCGAGGGCCAAGCCCAAGAAGGGCGGGATCGCGCTGGTTCTCACCGCGCAGGACGTGTCCGTGGAGGGGTTCTGCATGAGCCGGTGCGGCACGCACGCGTCGAACGCCAAGGCCCGCACGGCCTACGTCTGGGTCGGCAACTCCGCCACGCAGTGCCCCGGCCAGTGCGCGTGGCCGTTCCACCAGCCGGTGTACGGGCCTCAGACGCCGGCGCTGGTGCCGCCCAGCGGCGACGTCGGGATGGACGGCATGGTGATGAACATCGCCAGCATGGTCGCCGGCGTCGTGACCAACCCGTTCGGCGACGGGTTCTACCAGGGCCCCAAGGAGGCGCCGCTGGAGGCCGCGACGGCGTGTCCGGGGGTCTACGGCAGCGGTGCGTACCCCGGTTATGCCGGGAACCTGGCGGTGGACCCCGCGACGGGAGCGAGCTACAACGCCAATGGAGCACACGGGAGGAAATACCTGCTTCCGGCTTTGTTCGATCCTGCCACGTCAACCTGTTCAACTTTGGTGTGAGGGACTCAGGACGGAGGAAATATGGTGTAATGATAAACCGGTGTATATACGGAGCAAAGAGTGGTCAAGAGTAAATACTACTTGTACTTCTTTGAAAAAAAATAATACCCCTAGATATGATTTTTTAAGAAGATCGGTAAATAAAATCGAAATAGCTATCCATCTACTAACAGATTTTGTATGGCTTAATCTTGCACTTTTTTTTTACCATTGGTTGTATTTGAGATTCACGCTATGCTGAGATTCGTGCATGGCATAAGAGACAAAAACTGTTACACGTACCAGGACTCAAATCCGTGATTTTAACTCATCCCTTCCACTGAGCTAACTTGTTTTTTTATATTTACATATAATTTACACCTAAGTTACATTTATAATTATATGCTAGTTATAATATTGTACTATAAATACATTTGAAAATTTTTTGGGAGGATTTTCAGTCGCATGTTGGTTAAGCAGTCCCTTCTATACTTCTGTCAGATGTCACTCAGTCACTTGTGTTCTTTTGTGCTATCAGTACAGTTTGCAAAGGGCATGCATGCGTATGGATCGATGATAACTATAATATGCCACAATTTGGCACATCTGAAGTGAGAAAAGTTGACCATGTTAACTATGTATTTTGTTCATAGCCACACTTGTAACATATTTTTTTTTTCTTCGTCAAATTAACCCTACATGTCAATAGCAAAAAAAAAAAAAAAAGACCCTACATGTCAATTGCAAAAAAAAAGTGTGGTAAGGTTGTCTCTTGCTAGCTAAGTGTGGCTTTAAATTTGTTAACCACACCTTATACAAGTTAGCTTAAAATCTATGGTCCTAAAGTTGTTGATCCCCGCTGTTGAGAATAGCAGAAACTTGGTAGAAAAACTCTATGTTGTAATGTCTCGTTTATGTTATGAACCATAAATCCATCTATCAGTGATAAAAGCACGATGCTTTTGAGGGTAGAGGATTTGAATCCGAGTGCGTATATGTCATGGAATCCATTCATATACCAAACCGGATCCACCTTTATAATTTGAGCACCAGATTTTGACTCTGGCAGTATGATAGTTTTCGTTAATTTTTTATCAAATTCTGGTCGAATTTGTTTTTAAATTTTGAATTCCTGGAAACCAGGAATCTACTTTCATGCCGTGTAGATACCTCGAAATTTTACCTTTTTAAAAAAACACTAACCCTGATGCCAATCCATGCAGGCAGACAGACCTTCAACGAAATGAAGATATCGCCAATGGAAAGTGTAAGTTAACACTGAAAAATAAAAGACATTGAAATGGCAGATTATATAGTGCTAGACCTATGGTTAGTGTAGCAAAGTACTTAGCTCTGGCATAAATATTTGTCAAGGTTTGGTATTGTTAGGGTTACGGATAAAGCATACCCTCTATCCTATGACTTATGGGAAATACTAATAAGGTATACCTTACGTGTACGGTTGGTTTCCGTATACGTTATTAGGAATTTGCCTCAAATCATGAAAGATATCTCCACGAGGTTAAGGATTTGCCGAAGACCTACTCGGAAGGGATATGATCTCTAATATATCGTGTTGGTTTACATAATCTTCAAGTCTTACTTGGGGGGTCAAGGTATTCCACGGTATAAAAGGGACCCCCTAGGGGAGGCTAAGGGCATTGCATCTCATCGCCAATACACCCACCAAAGTTTACGAAGCCGGAGTTCATGGAGCCAACTCGCCGGGGGATCTTGTCGAATCTCTCGACTACGATCTCATCGGTATCGCCAATTCGGTTACTCTCTTTGTAATCTGTTTTCATCATCATCAATCCCATATAAACTGAACTAGGGCTATTACCTGATAAGGGGCCTGAACCAGTATAATCCTCGTCTTTTGTCTGTTTTGATGTCGTACTACGTAGATCCCTATTCCAACGTACCCCAATTCCCTATTCTTCTGGTCCGCGAGTACCACTCGTCGACAGGTATTTTTTTTATCAAACTTTTACAACATTAACAATCACTTCCCTCAAACCGTTAGTTTGTAAAAACATGTTATGTATAAATTTTTCAAAAGGCGTACTACTAGAATAACGTAGATTTATTAGACTCTAGTTTGAAACAATCCTAAGACGCACTCCAGTAAAAAAAATATTTAACATTTAGAACAAATTTTGAAGCTTTGACCATCAAAGTTTCTCAAATGTTTAATGTAAAAAGGAAAAAAAATGATATGTATAGATTTATCTTGGAAGGGCTATGATAAGATCGTGCGCTTGATAGATTTTATGGTTTGATATGAGTTAATGGTTAAATTCTAAAAGTTTGATCAGCCTTATTCTAAACTATTTATGACCAAAAGGAGTATAAAATTCGTTTTGAAAAGTTTGACCTATTTTATTCTCAATGTAAATAATTATGATGGAAGGAGTACATTGTACATATCTTCCGTTAAACAAAAACCATCCAGTTATTCATTTTCTAAGTTAACGTGTGTGCTTGGAATATTTATATGTACGAAGTATTAAGATGTAGATGTTACCTCGGTTTCTGTTAGTAATGTTTTCCAAACGGCTAAACAATGTGTTTCGTGTAAAAAAATCTATATATAAGTTGCTCTAAAATATCAAATAAATTTATTTTTTGAATTTGTAATAATTAAAACTCAACTGATCAGGCGCATATAGTCTGCATATAGTTTCCTTGTTTTTGGTTCTTAATTAATCTTCATCTTTATTGGTTTCAAACACGAGTACCAACAATCTGGTAGTTGACGATGTCACACCATTGTATAGCCAGGAGATGAAACTGGTAACTGTGGAAAAATCTAATTGTTTTATTTTGATGTTTTTAAATTTATTATATCGACCCTCTCATGGGGTATATATATAGGAGTATGTAGAGGATAGAGACTTGAAGTATAATACAAGTAAGATTAGATTTATCTTTAAGATTAGATTTAGACTTGAAGTATAATATAAGACTCTATTTTATCAGTAGGATTATATCTCTAGGATATATCTCATCTCTATATTTCTAATTGACTATTATCTCTAACTAATATATTTGTACTTCTAACATTCCTCCTCAGTTGTAATGGGAGCGGAGTGAACGATTGCGTCTGGATTTGAAAACTCCTATTTCTTCATCTTCTTTGACTGATGGCGCACCACCTAATACCTGCGTCCCCTTCAGTGTCTTTCCTCGACTCTTCTCTATTTCTTCATAAGTTCAAAGAATTGTGTGACTTGCCAAGAATATTGAAAACTTTGCTATCCATCAAACAGTCGTAACAAACGAACTGTTGAACACAGCAATCCATGGAAAGAGGCAAAGAGCCAACCGCCTATTGCAAAACCTAGTCTGAACTCCGGAGTATTTACATTTTGAGTACACTGTACTCATTTCTTACCCAAAGAAAATGAAAATGAAACAGCCACTTTACTTGCAAAGATTTCAAGTTTGCAAGTAGTTATAATAATCTTCGCTATGTGTTTCTTTCTACACCACGTACTTGACTGCCAACATCGACCCATCCAACCCGATCCGTCATGTACAACGTGTGCAAAATGGGCGCATATGGATGAACACCAACCAAATCCCGTGAGGAACTTCCCCTAATGAGTCATGACCCATGCTAGCCTTCCAAATCGAAACTCTCCTCCGTGAGCACTGATCGAGCAGTGGTTTCGCCGGTCGTTCGCGGATGAGCTCAAGCATAGATAAATTATTAAGATAAAATATAGGCATTGACTTCCCAAAAATTCAGTGGATCCAACACCATTCACAATTCACAAATGCCGCACATAGCAGCGGCAGCAGCAGCATATGGTGAAGGCTGCATCACAGGAAGGATGGTACGTACTCACTCCGATTCGTCTCTGAAGATGCTTCCCAGCTGTTGCAGTAGTTACCCGGCCCGGTCGTGATGCAGCTGAACACACGGGCGCGGCAACGCACGCCGGGGCGCCGCTCGTTGAGCTAGATTTTGACAAGATTATTCTCAAGCTGCCGCCGCACGAACGACACAGGCTGTGCCCGTCAGGCAGCAACGCGATCCGTCGGTCACGTCCTGCCCTGACCACAAGAGGACAGAACCTTCCCCCCGAACGCTCGTGCAGCGGTTTTGTCTGCTAACCGCAGCTCTTGCGCCGTCTCTGGCTGCCATTATCCGCTGACCTGAACTTTGTTAATCTTCTAGTGTCACTCCAACAGCTCAGCAAAGCCTGAATTTTCAAGATTCCGTGACTTTGTTACCGTGCAGTGGCTAGCTGTCCCTTGAGATCTGAACACCATGCTTAGGGAAGCATCCAGGAACGTGTTAGCAGTCCAACTCCAGTGATGGCTTCTCTAACCCTATAAATAAGCGGCTCATGACTTCACTTTGCTCACCACTCAGCATCAGAACACAAGCAAATCCAACACTTCTTCCTTGAGCTCCTTTCCATCGTCAACTTCCTTAGCTGGTTACACTTCGTTGTCCAATCGAAAAGCATAGTTAGTTCCAAAATGGCTGCAAAGGCAGTTATGCTTGCACTGCTTGTGCTTGTGAGCACGGCTCAGGTATCCATGGGTGCAAGGCGGCGCATGGAGCTGTACAAGCCAGACCCGGCTGACATGCTCTCCTACCACAGCGGCGCCGTGCTCCAGGGCAACATCCCGGTGTCCATCTACTGGTACGGCAAGTTCACGCCGGCGCAGAAGTCGATACTCTTCGACTTCCTCCTGTCGCTCTCGGTGGCGCCCTACGCCGCCGCGCCGTCCGTTGCGCAGTGGTGGAGCAGCATCGACGAGCTCTACTTATCCAAGGCGGTGCAAACCAACTCCAACGGCCAGAGCAAGAAAACCCAGGTTCTGGTCGCGAGCCAAGTGTCCGACATCAACTGCTCCATGGGCAAGTCGCTCACCCTGGCGCAAGTCGCCGCCCTAGCGGCGCAGGCCAAGCCCAAGAAGGGCGGCATTGCTCTCGTTTTCACGGCGCAGGACGTGACCGTGGAGGGCTTCGGCATGAGCCGGTGCGGCCTGCACGGCTCCGACGCCAAGTCCGGCACCGCCTACATCTGGGTCGGCAACCCGGCGACGCAGTGCCCCGGCGAGTGCGCGTGGCCGTTCCACCAGCCCATGTACGGCCCGCAGGGCGCGCCGCTCGTGGCGCCCAACGGCGACATCGGGGCGGACGGCATGGTGATGAACCTCGCCAGCATGCTCGCCGGCACGGTGACCAA